TCAAAAGTGTAATTCTAAATTATTACTGAAAGATTTTTCTAATTGGTCTAGTAAAAATAAATTTATTGATAAATTTATTCAAGTAATTCAACAGAATGCTTATTTTAATTCAAATATAATAGAATGGATTCCTTATGATAGATTTAAAAATATTGATTATATTAATAAAAATAAATTTAATAATAATTATAAAGCTATTTGGTTAGATGGACCTATTATTAAATGGTCTTATGATGATAAAAAATGGATTAGAAATGATAATATTTTAGTAGTTCTTAAAGGTTTTAACATTAATAATTTATTAAATTTATTTAAGGAATTAATAAAGGTATGTTATAGATATTATTAATTATAATTAATTTATTTTAAATTAATTTTTATTTTATTTATTTAAAGTTATTTGATGAATTTTATTTTATTGGAATTACTCAAGATTTAAATACTTTAGATTATATGACAGTGATGAATTATGAAAATGTATGTTTAAATTGTTATACATATATTATTAAAAGATGTATAGCATGTGATATTAAACAATTTCAAGAAGATTTTTATAAGTGGACTAGTGGAAATAAATTTATTGATAAATTTATTCAAGAAACTCAAATAAATATACAAAAATATGATCAAATATTAGAGTGGATTCCTTATAATAAACTAGAAAAGATTGAATATTTCGATAAAGGAGGATTTAGTAGAATATATAAAGCTATTTGGTTAGATGGACCTATCTTAAAAAAATCTTATGATGAAAAAATATGGATTAGAGATAATAATAAAATAGTAGTTCTTAAAAATCTTAATAAATCATCAAATTTAAATGAAGAATTTTTAAATGAAGTATAATATATTTATTTTAATTAATTAATTTATAATTAATTTAAACTAATTTTTATTTATTTATAGTGGAAATATCATTACGATTGTTATAATAGTTCATTAATTCAATTATATGGATTTACTCAAGATCCTAATACTTTAAATTATATGATAATAATGCAATATGCAAATGATGGTAATTTAAGAAAAAATTTACCAAAGATCATTAAAAATAATTGGTTTTCCAAATTAATATTATTAAAGGAAATTGTTAATGGACTTATTAAAATACATAATTTAGAACTTGTACATCGAGATTTTCATGATGGTAATATTTTGAATGATGCCGACATAGTTTATATTAGTGATTTAGGATTATGCCGGCCAATAGAATATTTTCAATCACCTTTAAACAAAATAATATTTATGGTGTTTTACCATTTGTAGCTCCTGAAGTTTTAAGAGGTCAACCTTATACACCAGCCAGTGATATATATAGATTATGTGGGAATTTATATCTGGAATTCCCCCATTTAATAATAGAGCACATGATCTTCAGCTAAGTTTAAGTATTTGTAGAGGTGACCGTCCTGAAATAATTAAAAATACTCCGCAATGTTATATAGATTTAATGAAAAAATGTTGGGATGTAGATCCGTTAAGAAGACCAACTGCATCAGAAATTGGTGAAACCATTTCCAATTGGTATTTTAATAATTTTACCGAATTTTATAATGCAGATAAAACTTTAGAGCAAGAAGAACAAGAGCAAACTAATACTTCGATAGCAACTACATGTATTACTGAATCTCATTCAGAAGTATATTATACAAGCCGTTTACTTGATTTTACAAAACAATTAAATGAAATTCTAAATGAAGAAGAAAAAGAGATTTTTGAATACGAAAATGACCAAAGTAATGAATCATGTGAAACAGGAATTAGTCAAAGTATTGGTAATTATTATAACATTTATTTATTATGAGAAATTTTTAAATGAATTTAATTTAGATATATAATATTTTTATATATATTCAACAGAAGCTCTAAATTTTATGGAACACGTTAGTAAGTGAAATCAAAAACTAATTTCGATAAACTTTTTCTATATACATAAAAGATAGATGAGTCTCTAAATAAGTCTAAGAATTGATATTAGTTTTATTATAAATTTGTTATTTTTATTCATATATATATATTATTATTTTACGGTTTTAAAAATTGAAATAAATTATTATGAATTGTCAAATGCATTTTAACGAAACAAATATACGTTATCGTTATGCATTGGCAATTCTTAAACTTTAACATATTTTAACAGTTCCAAGTTTATTTATTCAAACAATATATGCCCTCTGTTTTTTTTTGATATAAATTTTCTTCTATGAAGAAAAATGATTTTACCAACTTCAAAACTTATTTGAGCAGTAATCCATGTTCATTTTTGAAATCTAAACAATTTGCCTTTTATTTTTGTATATAAGAAATAAGAAATAAGAAATAGAAATCAAATTTATTTGATTAAAAAAAATTCATAATTCTAAAATTGATAAAGTGGGTCCAAATAAGTTATTGGATTAATATTTCATTAGCAAAAAAAAAAAAAAAGATTTTTTTATAATTAGCTCTTTTGATGCATATATATGATGCTTTGCGAAATTAGATTAGAGAACATAAACTAATTTCTTTGAAGATATATTGTAAATTCATACTATTCTGCATAATATTCGGAAAGAGCCAAATTCATTCTCAATAAATGCCAAGTCACTACAGAACGTGTAGTTACATTTCTAAATTATTAGGTGAATCATCAAAATATACAACATAAAACATATTAAAATCAGGTAAAGAATAGTATGTATAAAATTTAAAGTAATCAAAATAATTTACGGTTATCGACTGTGGCGGTGATACCAAGGAGAAATATTGTTCTCTCTTCAAAAAAAATTCCGTTAAAGACTCCATCCAAAACCCTAACGATAATAACGTCAACTTTATTTTATAATGTTACTTATAAAACTGACGTTGCTGCGGTAAAGTACTTTTTTGATAAGGTATTTACGTAAAACGCTTGGTTATGGACAGATACGATATGATTCAACATTTTGTCGATATTATAAAGACTGCTAAAACGAACGTTGGTACATCGATTGTACTTTAAATACTTTAAATACAAAAAAATCAAAATTTGATCCTATTATCGATATGATTTTATTTATAAAGATATTATTTATCATCATTCCACGGACACTGAAAGCATGTAAACATATTTTTTGAATTGAAACCGGTATAACCCAATTTTTCATCCATCGCAAATTAAAATAATCAATAAATTCAAGAAGGTAACAGAAATTTCAGATCGATATTAAAATAAGGTATTGCTTTATTTGTGCGACGCAGAGTTTATAGCAATATCAGAATACCAGTAACCAGAAGTTATCAGAGAAAATTCAACCTAGTAGAGATAATACATTTAATATGCTAATAATATAAAAAGTATTTATAACGATAAGTTAATAAAGTATTTTAGTAAAGACGATATCACGTATAATACTTGTAAGGAGGCGGATTTCGAGGAAATCTTTAAATCGTTAAGGCATTTGGTTTAATGAAAAATCACGGAATACGTGATTTACCGATAACTAAACCATTAATACTAAGGTCCTAATAAGCAACATATACTGAAGTGAGATATATATTCATATCTATAGTTAAAACAGCAAACCAGTTAGGTTATAATTGGTATATTATGATCTTGTGTTAAGTTTTTATTTATCATAAAAATAAATAGGACATAATAAAATAAATGAAAATGTCATTTGTAATAATGCGCTTATTAACAATTACTTTAAATTGCTAATTTTATATGAAGATATGAGAATAACTGCTTATTGTTTCTCTATTAATGAAGTTGGAATAACCATAATTTAATCTCATTGATATTTCTTTAGCGTAAATTTTTACTAAAAATCATTTGTCATTAGAAAGTGTATTAAGATTTGTCACATGATACAGACAAAACTGGTTATAACGAACTTCTTTATAACGAACACTGGATATAACGAACTCGCAATTTTTAAATTTTAATAATAGTTCGTTAAAAAAAAGTGTAATGGTTCATATAGGAAGCTAGTAATTTATATAAAGAACTTATTTTTCTAACGGAATCGTCAGTTCGTTATAAAGAGTATTGATTGTACTTCTCATTAAAAAATTTAGACAAATTTCTATATTTCTAAATTAAAGGTAGCTATATGGAGCATTTTCTTTATTTGAAAAATTTCATGTCTCAACAAAATTAAAAGTTTTCAAATATTTACACTACAAAAAGTGGAACGAATTTATTAATCGAATATTAACGCATTTGGACTAACAAAGTTTCCGCAAAGCATTTTTTTATTTATAAATAGCTTCAACCATTTTGTAAACCTCAGGAGAGTTTATTTCCGCTCACTATTGTTTTATCCAGTATAATTCCGCTCGAAATATCATGATTTTCGCTTGAAATTGTTTTCGAAATTATAGAATGCCAGGATCAGATTGTCCTAATTATTATTTTTTTTTTATATATATATGGGAGCTAAGCGCCTCTCTCAATGATTTCTTGAATGATTTGATTGGCTAAAAAAATTCGATTGCGAAGTTCATTTAAAAAATCCTGGACTTGCGCTGATTGGTCAAATTTTACATTGATTGAGCAACAAATAAGGTTCTTCAGCGAAACCATCGCCAAAAATTATTATATTACTTTTATGTTACAAATTCTTACAGCAAAAAAAGATGTCGAAATATTCAAATGCAAGATTTAACATTTACATTCTTCTAACCTTCTATTTTGAATTCGATGTTAGATTCATCTAACGCAATACCTATATGGAACAAATTGTTATTGTATTATGGCGATTGGCAAATGGAGTAGGAATACGAGTAATAGAGCAAACACTTGGAGTAAGTCAAGGATTTGTAAGTAATTTTACCGATCGATTCTTATAAGCATTATTGGATTTAGAACAAAAACGAATTACATGGCCACAAGGATCACAATTAATAAAAGTAATACAAGGGGTTTGAGCATGGAGAATCTGGTTTAGGAAATCGCAAACTACCCAATATTATTGATGTAATGGATGGATCACATATACCTATTCATTCACCTTCTAAAAATGATGCACATTATATTAATCGTAAAAGTTTTCATTCCTTTAATCTTCTCAGTTGTTGATCATTAGGAGCACTTTATTTATATACATACATGTGGAAGAAGCAAATAATAAACAATTTTTATTTATATTTTTACAGATAAAAAATATTTACATAATGTTTCTTAAAATAGGAAGTGTATATGATTCTTGAGTATTTTATCATTCATCTTTTTATCATTAAATTTCTTTACATCCTGAACAATGGATTCCAGGTGAAACTTATATTATCGCTAATACAGCATATCCTCTTTGAATATATTTAATGAAAACATTTCCTAATTATTATATATTGATTTATAGAGAATGACAAATATTTGGCTAATTTTTTAATGCAATAAAATATATTAATTACTTTCTATATTAAAATTTCATTAAATATTGTTTAAAGATATCCATTTTTCATCATGCTATTGTTGGCTTAATAAATAAAAATGATTTACTTTTAATTTAATATGTCAAATTAAATACAAGATTTTATTACAATTATACTTATACGAAGACACAAAAAAATGTAATAGCAAATAAATTGATAAGATTCCTTTATTAAACTCTTGGTTTATTCTAAAATCCTATCTTAAGTTACTTTTTAATTCAAGATAAAATATAAGATATTTATATAAAATAAAATACAATAAAATAAAATATAATAAATAAAATATAAATGATAAATATAAAAACTATAAATAAATATAAGATATATATTAACTCTACTAAATAATTATAACTAATAAATATAATGAATATAAATAATATATCTAATATATTAAAAATAATCAATTTATCATATTAAACTAATTCATCTACTTTGTCAAATTTATTAATCATTTTCAATCATATAATTAGCTATAGTCACAAATTATAGCTTTAATATTAATATATTGATCTTTATAATTTCAGTAATAATTTCAGTTTATTTATTAATAAGAATTCAAAATTCACTTTCCTTCTTCAGATTATGTATTTTTTTATTTTTTAACATTATTTTATATAATTATAAATAATAATTTAGTTAATAAGTAATAAGTAATAATCCTTTTTGATTAAATAATAGATTATTTATTTTATCATCTTAATTTTTAACCTTCTACTTTAAGTTTAATCTTATAAATTAAATCACAAATAAGGTACTATAATATTTAAATCATTTTTTAAATATTTATTAATATCATTAAAATTTCTAAATATTTTAAACAATTTCTTTACCAGTTCTTATAACTTTTTCCTTTATATTATAATATTTTTAAAGAAGTAAATTCTACTTTTGTTAAATTAATATTTTTGTGCATTATATTGTAATATTATTTTTTATTATTTTCTTATTTGCTTAATGAGCACATAAATTTCTAACAATATTTATTAATAAGCTAATTTATTAATAAATACATCAAAAGTTTTAAAGTAAACACTAAACTTGAGGTTAAAATAAAACTTAGTTTAATAGCTAATTTAACAGAGTTGAAAATAGATTATCATTCAAAATTATTACTTAAATAGTTAGTAAAAATAGGATCTTTAGAATATTATTATTGTTACAGTTATTATAATAATAAATTATTTATTTAAAACTATTATTATAAAGATAAATTATTTATTTATTATTAATATTATAATAATAAATTATTTATTCATCACAATTATTAGAATATATTATTTAATTATTTCTATTATTGTAATAATAAATTATTAGTTAAATTTGTTAAAGATATGTTAAGAGCTGAAGTCAAAGTTTTTTTAGTTATGATAAATGAAATTGATAAAAAGACAGAAAGAGATTGCTTAAAAATTGATTTATATTTCTATTTTAATTGATCATAATACTTGAACTTCATCTTAATTCTTATTTAATTATATTAAAAAAAATGTATAAGAATGACCAAATCACCTACAAACTCACTAATCAAAATTAAGATTAAGATTCTTATTAGTAAAGTAAGCAATTAGATTATTAAAGTTCTCATTTATTTATATAATATTAATCAAAAAATGTAAAATTGGATTTTAATATAAAATTTGAAAATGATCAACATTATTATTCAAAAGTTAAAAAGTTTCAAATTCTTCTAAAATTCAACGTTTTAAGATATTTAATAGGAGTTTTTAATTTCAGTTATATAAAATTTAATGCAGATTTTAAAATATATTATTAGTTAAAATTTTATTAGATTTTATATCAAATATACTAGCAAAATAGCAGGTGTAGTTAATATAAAAATTTTAATAAATTAAAGAATCAATTAAAAATTTTTAATTTTTTATCACAAACTATTATAAATTATATTATATAAAAAAAGGCTTACACATTTTATTTTTATACTTTTATAATAAAATTTTCTAATAAAAAGTTAATATCTAAATAATACTTCAAAAAATAGTTAAAATTTCTAAAAAAATTTACTTTTACTTTCTAAACCTTCTTAAAGTTCTTTCTTACTTTCTAAAATTCTATAATAAAAATAAGCTTTATATTCTAATTTTATAAAAATACATTAAAATATTATATTAATAAACCTATTCAAATTTTATTAGTTAAATTTTTTATTTTTCTTATATCACTTAAATTAAATAAAATAAAATTAAATAATTTTAATTTGAAAATTGAATAACTTTAGGTTAACTTTTTAGCTTAAATTTTTTTTTAACATTAATTTCAAAATAAAAATAAAAGCATGTATAATATATATAACAAATATTAAAACTATTAAAAAATTTATTTTGTATTTATTAATTTTTATTTTTGAATTTTTAACTTCAGAAAAATTTTAGATTCAAAAGTTTAGATTTAGTTTATATTATATAAAAAGATCTGACCAATCAAATTAACTTCAAATTGATTGAAAATTAGACTAATTAAATTTAAACAAGCTTAATTTTATTTAATTTTGCTAAAAAATATAATTAGTTTAGTTAATCACAAAATGTATCAAATTTGCAATTAATCAATTGAATACCTTTAATATAAAATATTATTAATTATTTGAATAGTATTTAAATAGAAATACAATTAATACTATGCACTGTCAACTATCAATATATATATAGACAGAAATAATGATGTTAAATGATCATACTTTTTTATTACTGATTCAGGTATTACAAAATTGATTTTAAGTATTACAAAAATTATTATAATAATATCTTATAAGATGCAAAATTTCAAGTATTATGAAATTGATTTCAAGTTTTTCAAAAATTAGTATTTTAATAATAAAATTTTATGTATTTTATAATAGCAAAAATTTTAATTATAATATAATGATTTAATAGTAAAATTTTAAATAATAAAATTTTGATATTATTTTATTAATTATTTTAGCTTTATATTTAAAATTAAAACAATTTAATTATTAGTTGAAAATATTTATTATAACATAATATTTTTTGATTATTATTTACTTAAAATTAATTTTTTATCTTATCCCTTAGATTGTCTAGCAGGTAAATTTGCCTATGAACTTAAAAAAATGTTATTTTTTTTAAAAAAATATTAAATATTAATTTTAGTAATATAATAATAATATGAAAAATATAGTTTAATATATATTTTATTAATTTTAT